AAGATGCAATGGTTGAAATTGCTATTTATTGTATAACTTCAAACACATATTCTAATACTTTTGGCAGTGATAAGTATGCCATGTGATTGAGAGGTGCCCTAAATTTCAGAAAGTGATTCAGTTAAAGACACATAGATATAGAATGAAATTATCAAATTTTAGTAAAGGAATCTTTAGCCAAAAAACTAGTTCAATCGGAGTAACTGTAGCACTATTGCAAGGTATTTATAATGAACAAAAGATGCAACAAATGACTAACTTAGATTCACCAATATTTAAAAAAAAAAAAAAAAGAGTGGCATTCGGTCACAAACAAAGCAATGCGTTGCTCTCATTTACTTCACAGAATTGTATTTATCATCATAACATCATCATCATCAGAGGGTATGAAAAAGGATGGACAAAGAGCCATTCTGATTTCTGCAAGTGTACATATTCTCTCTTATGTTTGAAACATTCAAGGAGCCAAAAATGGTATTCAGATGCTGGCAGCTTGAAAATGCTTATAGTACAGAAAATGAAGACAAGATCATTTCCCAAGCTCACACTCATCAAAGAAAACGCAATTATCCAACCTCAGACCATCCCATTTGCAGCAACCCTCAAAGAATAATGCCAAAATAGAACTTCATCACAATGAAAAGATGCTCATTTTACAGAACTTCATCTGCCAGGACGATGGTTGCATCATCTGACCACAACACCTAGAAGAGTTGCTTGAAAAAATATGCACTCTGAAGTTCCATGGCAAGGCATGCATGATCAACCAAAGCCAACTTCCTGTTTACTTCAACAAATGGCTAATTATAGGTCAACTTAACATTAGAGCGAAAACACAGTCCAAGTGGGTATTCTGAACACTCTTACCGCCACTGTCCTCTTATGTGATGAGAACCTTATCTAATCAATATACTAGGTGAATACTCTAGAAAGTAGTGTTATATTATTTATCCAAAAGACACGATATTACCTATCTATACAACATATAGCCACATATCCTTTTAGATTCTTTGTAATATATCAATGTCTTTGTTAACCATCTCAGGCTAATCGGATCCTAACTTCTGCCAGAAAAATGGGTTGTGCATTACAATCTTACCTTGTTTCATTATTTCCCACAGAGCTGTCAACAGTATACCATTTTTTTTTAGCATAAGAACTGTCTATTGTTGTTTCACTGATTCTGTTTCAAGTATCAGATCATGAACTGGATCTGGATTCGAAGCATCCTTGCTCCAGTTGAATATCCCTTAGAAACACATTCCATGATTGGTCATGTAAAACCTTCGACATCCTTCAGACTGTAATGAAAAACTCAATTACACGCATAAAATGAAACAACCAATCAAACTCCATCAGCTAGAGTTCTCAATCTACCCATAAAATGCCCAATTAACTTAAAATTTTATTTGAATATTAAGGGTTCTATTTTCTTGTTATTGAAATTCAATTAAGAAGCATCACATTCAGATAATACCATGATTTCCCCATATAAATGGGTTCAGAAATGTTCATTGAAAATGTACTTAACAAGACATCCAATATTAGGAGGTCCAAATTTAATGAAATGAAAAGGGTATTAAAGCAAAAATAAATAAAAACGGTGGAACAAATAGGCAAAATTAAAACAAACTACTACCTTACGGGTGGAAGAATTGGACGAATTGGGGGAAGATTTAACTGGGTTTTCGGGATCTTCTTCATCAACGCTTTGACTGAGTGGCACTGACGTGGCATCTTTCTCGTCCGCCATCTTCGTTTTCTTCTCCCTTTTTGCGGATTCAGAACAATCTAACCCAAAAGTTTTCTGCCCAAAGAATGAACTAAGACCAGACCTGACTAGACTTGAGAAATATTGGAATTTTATCACTATGGTATTTAGACTTGGATTGGAATTGAAGTAAAAAAGCTGTAAAGCGTTTAAAGAAATGATGGGATCGTGGTTTCTTAATTTCTTTCCTCCTTTTGCCTTGAATTTGAAGCTTTGGGTTGACTTGTTACAGTGTACCATAAAGGTTTAAAATTTTAATACATCTAATTTATTATTTCAAAAAAATTAAGAAAAAATGTTAATTGCACTATTATTTTTATCATATAATTTTTATTTATTAAACATTTAGATTATATGATAAAACAGATAATAAGAGTGCAATTAATATTTTGTAAAAATTATTATCTAGTGATAATGACCCCTAATTTATCATTCAATTGTATATACTTATATATTTCTTGCACGTAATGTATTTAAATATTTTTTTACTTAATTTGACAATTTATAAAATTAGAATACCTTAACCATTCTCTGGATGCAAACAAATCAAGCAGCTCATGAGTTTTCAAACGATCGACTCGACTTAGCATTGATTGAATTTAAGTCAATCTCAAACTACCCGATTATTCAAACAAATAACATATCAAGTATTGATATGTTAAACTCAAAAACTCGACGAGTTTTATCGAGCAGTGCATATGTGTGTGTGCATTAGTGTATAATACAAATTACATCTGCAGGCTTGACCTTATTCGATCACCTCATAAAGTTTAGCGAATCGAACTCGATCATAGAAATCAATGCTCATTTGAGTTGAGTTGAGTTGAGTTCAAGTTGAGTTGTAACTCAACACTCTTCACGATCAACTCGACTCAATTGCACCGGTATTCTTCTTGTCATACCCACTTGACGCATGTAAAATAAACCTCTTCCATGAGACCATTTTTGGGATCAGGTGGCACATGAATGGGGCCAAGTATGATTAGATGTTTATGGTTTTGGGGCAAAGTAATTAAGCCACACTTTTTAAAAGATCCAATGCATCTCCTTTTTGTTTGGTTTGAGTGAAGGAGGCTCTTGCACAAAATTCCTGATGTTTAGATGACAACAACATATAAGAGTCTAACAAGAACTTGAGGTGCTTGAGCAAAGTTACTACTAATTTTCATTCTATGGTTTGTTAACTAATCTGGTTTGCACCTATGTGAGACTATCAAATATATGTCTCCTATTTGTCCCCCATTTTCCAATATTACAAGCAGGTGATTTGGTTAAAATGTTGTTTTGCTTTGTTGTATGGATGATATGATGCAAAGTATCTTGATTGATATCAATGACAAGCATCTAACTGCATTCAGAAGTTTACATGCATTTACCGTATGTGCCTCGTGATATAGTAATCCTTTTGCCATGGTGGCTTCGAATCTCTGTCCCCAAAGTAGTCTATGTCCCTTATTTATATAGCTACCACGTGTCTCTAACCTTTTGTTAACCCAAACTCAAATAAATTTTAGATTAAATAACTATTTCTTGCAAACAAGTGAATTATTGGAATAACTAAAATTTAATTATAAACAAGAAAATATTACCTGTGACAATTGCGTTGAGCACAACATACGTTGGCTATTTGGTTCCCATATGTTTAAAGTTTAAACCATCTCCACTACCAGTAGGACCTTCATGCACATGCTTAAAAATAAAAAATATAAATGAATAATTATATCATCAAGACTCAAAAAAAATTATATCAGCATAATATCTAAATAAAAGCTTGCTTTTCATGCAAACAAACCCATGGTTTATTTGAGTTTGGGTTAACAAAATGTTAGAGACACGTAGCAGCTGTATAAATAAGGGACAGAGGGGACGGAGACTACTTTAAAGACAGAGGATTCGAAACCGTTTCCATATTCAGATATATCCTTTCTAACCAAAAGTTTCCAGTGTTGTGTGACATTTTTTTTAGAAAATTTTTCTTCTAAATTTGCTATTGAGAACTTATCTTCTCTTGAAGGGACATTTGGTGACAAGGTGGTGGCAATGTAGGCATCTTACTCTTGCCTTATACATCATTGATTTTGTGTTTGAACCTAGATCCACTTTGATATCTAATAGCACCTTGAGTCTTTGAACATTCCTCACCCAAATAGGGAAAAAAATTCTATGAACGTTAGCTCGGATTCTCTTTGGATTGTACTTGGTTACCAGATTCTTCCAAGTATGTTGTACAATTGGCTTACTGGGATTTAGCTCATTCAGCCCTAGGACAATGAAGCTGTCCGAATGGGGTTCAGTCCAAGAATTTTGGACCATTTCTTGATTCTTGAGTGTGACCTTTACACAAGGATGATGTTAATCTACTTGTATCCCTTTTGCTGCATACCAAAATATCAAAGAATTAATGCTAGATTATATGGCATTAGTCCATTATAATTTATAACTCATTAGTATAATATAATTGCCTTTTAAAAAATAAAGGAAAATGGGATTTAAGAAATAAGAAAGGAAAGGAGTAATTGGACCAAAACTTATGATTCCTGCGACCTTAATCTTAGCTATCAGATCAAGTATGCTCAGCGTGATTACTTTATGTAAATTATGAGGTATCTTCATTCAGTCTAGTTTAATATACGCTGCAAATATTCTAAATTAGTAAATTTCATATGTTAACGCTAATCCACTCATACCTTCCTTTTGAATAAGAAGATGGATCAAACCACTGAGCTTAGCTCAGTGGCCACTACCAAAGCCTTAAGGCTTGGTGAGGTGGGAAGTCAGGGATTCAAACTCTACCTCTCACCATTTGCCACTAATGTGGCAGGCCAGTTCAAGTGGCTGTTACACGAGTGTGTAGTGCTTTTGTCTGGGTCGATAAAGTTCATGTATTCATAAAGGACTTCAATGTAGAGAGAAATGGAATCGTCAACCTATATTTTAAACCAGTTTGGATTGCTATTTTCTAGAGTTTTGTAGAAAAATATACTATAATCATTTGATATACGTAAAATGTGTTCACAAAAAACGTAGAATTTTTTTGGGGAAAATGGCTTTCCAAAACAAGGTTTATATAAACCATGTTTTAAATTGGATACATATTGCTTCATTTTAAGGAAATATAAGAGACACCAAACCAATTTCACAAAAATGTAAGGACTATTGTAGCAAAAAAATTTTATAACTCTCTCCCTGCTTTTTTTTTTTAAAAAAAATTTTAAACTTCTTTTATTTTCCACACCGGCCCCGTGAGCAAAGACAACCTCCCCTCCCCGTCTCCGTCGCAGGTCATCTCGTGGATTCGCCGGAAAATCCAGGATAGCCGCCGGAGATCTCAAAAGTGGTAGCTAATCTCAGCTTTTCGTTCTTCCATTTCGTTCAATTTCGTTACCTTGTTTCCTTTATTTGGATTGAATATTCTGGATTTTTCATCCGCTTCTAAACTGTTATAGAATTGCGAATTTATATGCTCTTTTTTTCTTGAAATAAATACATGAATACTAGGAAATCAAAGTGCTGTCTGTGATTATTTTGTGGGAGTGCTTAAAATCTGTGGTTTTCCAAGTAGAAGTAATTGAGCTTTTTATTCCTTTGGAATGGAATAGCTGCAATGGTTTTGTCAATACCCAATATCTTTCTACTGTGTACTTTTCTTCATTTTATTTTGATCTGGTTTTGTTTAGGTTTTGCATTTTAGCTTATTTGAACTTTTAAGTTCACGACTTGATTTCTTTTATGTATTTTTCATAACTCTTTTTTTTACTGAATTTAAAGGAAGAAATTTCAAGAAAATAACAAACCAATGGTAGAATAGCAATAATTCTCTTGACAAGAGAGAGTTCTTTTCGTGAAAAGAATAGTTGCAGGTTGTCCACTATAATCTTTTAAAACTTAATCTATGGTTTGAACGAACCATCATCATTTTTCTACTTATGTAGTGACAGAATGCTACTTAACATTATAATGTTATAGTGATGGTTTGAACGAACCATCATCATTTTTCTACTTATGTCACTATAACATTTTAAAACTTAATGTTATGAAACTTTATATGTTGTTTCGATGCAAAATCATCATTTGTCTACCGATGTGGCATGAACATTTCACTTCTGGATTCTGCATGCAGAGTCAAAGCAGTTTTAGGAAGGGAGTGAGAGAATATGCATCAGAGAGGACCTGGGAGCGGAAGGCCTTCTGGAACTGATGGTTCTGATTTTTCCTATCGCATGGTAGTGGACTCGCGTACGTGTCTTTTTTCATTCTTCTTGTGAGTTTGGATTTTCATTTAACCCAATTTCTCCAATTTGTGTTTGTTTTGGAAGATATCTAAATCTTTCTTTCAATCTGTTATGTACTTATTAGGCTATAAAAAGGTCGCTGAATACAAGTCTCGCCTTTCTGTTCTCATCTTCACCCAGGTACAGAAGACTATAAGAACAGAAAACAGAAAAAGTACATGTATAGTATCTTTTAGTTTAAAAATGGGCAAGTCTGTTATAGCGCTTGTGTATTAGTGAGAGTTTTGGTTATCTAAGAAAAAAACGATTTAAAGATCTGCCAGATTCTGTGTTGTGATCAATTCGTCATGAGCCTTTTCTTTTTAACTTTTGAGTAGCCTTAGGTGTTAGTGTTAAATTAACAGGTAAGAAATTTAATTTTGGAATTTTTCTTTTAAGCATTTGGTATATGTTTTTTCTTTTATGTCTTGCTGAAATTGAAGAATTAGCCAATGGAGGTTTCTTATTTTAGTTGCATTCATAGTATTTTTTGGACTTACATTGGACAATTTTTCGCTGTAATTCTTCAACTGATACTGTTGTTTAGTTTCCGTATTAATTGGGCATGTTTTACGGAGGCTAATGTTTGATTTCGAATTCACAGTTTCACTTTTGACACAGTTTATGTCATCTATCGACAGGCTATTATTCAATTGTTAGCAGCAGTGAATGTATTTTTATCCACAACTAAGACGGAGGAGCTTGACAAAATTGCAGTTTCTTCATCTGTTATATGTTTCATTTCTCTCTTCATAGGAGAATTAGGTGACCTTAACATGTTTTTGTTGTCCTAGTCATTCAGTGATTGGAGACTGATCTTTACTGTTGAGTTTCTTGTTGTTCTGAAGGTAGGAAGCGAAGCCGGGCAAGTTTTCTGAAGTTATACATGTTAGGATCATCAATAGCTGTACTGATATCAACTGCTAATCTCTCAAGGAGTGCTTATGTGGTACAAGTACGACCACTTACTGATTTTCGTGGCTTTATTTGTTTAGAAACCCATTAAATCATGATTATTCTTCTTGACTTTAAACTTGACGATAAATCAGACAGAAACAGATAAATATTTAATCACTCTTTGAGTCAACTTGAAGAAAGAAATGTGGAATGAGATAGAAGTATTAGAGATAATGTGGAAGAAAATTTTTAAGAGTCTGTAATTACCTTATCATTGACTAGGCCTTATCAAGGATGAAATTAACTGGTAGATATTTCTCATAAGTTTTAACTTTTGACTTGCTGTTTAGGAGAGAGTGGGACCTATTGTTAATTCACACTTGCTCTATTTTGAAAGGTTCTTTATCTAGGTTGCTATGTAAGAAATGTACCATATTACAGCCAGAGACATTGATGGATATATTGTGTGAAATATCTGTATGTTCTGGAATAGGTTATCAAGGATTTTAGTAGCTGGGGTACGTCAATGCTTGAACTTTCAAAGGTTGCAACTGGCCTGCTAGGTAAATACTGTGATTATGATTTGAGTTAATGGTGTCTTTTCATAGATTTCATACGTCATTTATATGTCTTTTGATCAATTTGCAGGATTCGTGGTACAATTATATACAATCAGTACGACGACATCTCTTATCCGCAATATGGCTCCTCCTAAGAGGACTGCTTGATGATGAGATTAGCCACCATTTATCTGATTTGTCTTTTAACTTGCTTTTTGTGGGCATTTTCTTTGCTTTACTTTGTGATGGAGGAGAGCTTTTCACCCACCTTTTTCTCACTTCGAAAAGATGTTGTACAAGGGTATAAATGATGTATAAACCAGTGTTACTAATTCATACATCAAATTGTTCTTTTCCCTCTTGCAGTGGTGGTTTTCTTCTATCTCATGCTTATACTTCATCCTTTTGTGGTGCTCGTTTGTTCCTATTCAGTAAGGCATGATATTTGAAGTTCTCGTTCTTAAGATATCTGGTAGGGTAATTGTTGGTGATATATGCCTATTTGTTTGTCTCAACAACTTACTGGTGGATTTCACGGCCCTCTTCAACGAAGGTGCTTTACCATATAGGAAGAATAGCTCCTTCTGAGCTTGTTGGCATAATGTACATGATTAGCTTAACATCAGCCAACAAAAAAAATCTCGTCTGCTCTTATGTGGGCATTTTATTTTTTTGGTTTGCTTTCAGGAACTGATACTTAGACCTTCATTTCTGGTAGTATGAAGAAACTCAAAGCATTTCCTCCACGGCAATGGTTTATACTGTAACTGTCCTCTGATTCAATGGGGTGCTCTTGCCTCTTCTGTTTGTCTATCAGACTACCACTTGGTGATCCCATTTGCTGGCCTGAATTTTGTAGAGTTTTCCTTTTACTCTCACATTGGCATTGCCTCCCTAAAAATGTAAAAATTATCCATTATACCAAAAAAGTAAAACACACCACTCAGAGGAATAGTTTCAAGAACTGCCTATTTGGTTTCGAGAATTTAACCAAACAGAAGGAGATTATTTTAATTTCTGTACTATTTTTTTTTCTTGTATATCAATAATCAAAAAATATAACATCATATCTTATTGATCCAAGAGATTATTTTGCCCTTGGTTATGAGCAGCATTATTAAATCTAGCTCGACAAGGAAACCATTAAAGAGACTAGGTAAATGGGTCGCTAATTCTACCAGTTAAGTAGGTGGCTAAATCAGTGGGTCATTGAAATACGTATAAAATGTTAGATATTTTAGCATAGGTAAATTTGGGATTTGGTAAATACAGTGCATTTGGATGTTGATTATTATATTTAAAAGATGTTTTACAAATATATAAACATTAATGGCAGAGTCAATTTCACTCTGTTATGCTTTACAAACAAAAAGGTCATGGAGTTAAACAAAGCATTTTATGGTCTGCGGATTATGTGGGTACGACTCATCGTCGTTATTTATGTGAAGAATCAGTTTCATAGCCTCTCTTGGTATTATAAAAATATGATTTACTTATTTCAATTTATATTTATATAACTTTGCAACATAGACGCCGTAACTTTTCTTTAGGGTAATAGGGAAACCCTTTTGGTTTACGCTAAAGTCAAAGGAGTCCCTTCTCATTTCAAAATATCCGCAAAGATTTTCAACCCTGGGGAGGGGTCACAGAGAAGAGGATGCTATATTATAAGGAGTCTTGGGGAAGGGGATTTTGGGGGAAGGGAGATCCCTCCTGCTGTTATTTATTTCTATGGTATGCCTATTACTGTTGTTGCTACTCCTTGGCGGATTTTGACATGTTTGGAAGGTGAGTTTTTTGGGGGTTTGTCTAAAACTTTACTATAACTTACTGTAGAAGTTTTTTTTAAAATTTTTTAAGTGTGTTTATTTTTGAATATTTTGAAGTGTATAATTTAAAATTTTTGAAAATTTTTTTAAGATTACTGTAGTTAAAGTTTTTAAAAAACTTGTAGCAGACAAACTTGACAAAAAATTTGGCTCCCAAACAAGGCAATCTATGTTGGCAGGATTCAAACCTTGACTGATACTCCAAGGAGGAACTGAAGTTCCCCTGGTGGCCACCGGACCAAGGTTCCGTGGTTCACGAGTATGTTAACTAATCTAGAAAAATGGAGGGAAACTATCTAAATTAACTGAAATTGAGTTACTCATACTTGATTGACGATCAAAGCATAACTTGGGTGCTAGGGAAAAACAAAAAAATGGATAATAGCTACAGGATATACACGATATTAATAATTAGTGACAGCAGTAGGACTAGTAGAAGCGGGAGTGAGCGTGATTTTGTTGTCTTCACTCCACATTTGGCACATTGTGATCATTTTTATTTAGTTTTTTTTTATTATATAGCTTCATTTTTCTCAAAAAAAAAAGAGAGAGAAATAATGATAAAGTAAGTAAAGAAGAATTTGGGGAAAATTAGAGAGGGTAGGGTTTATAAGTTTTGGACAAAAACCATATGGGCAGTCCACACTAATTCAAGCATATGATCTGTGTATGATTTTTCAACAAAAATATGACTAGAAAAATCTTCAAGGACAAAATAGTTGTGTTTCTTATTTGTAAGAAAATAAAATGCTTCATACATTTACTATGATTGAAGACAATTTTCATATGACTTTGAAGACGAAAATATTTGCAAGTAATTAGTTTTATCTGGTGTCATTGTTTTAAATATGAGCCGGAGAGGTTCCGAACTCGAATATCTCATTTTCACTTCCTCCTCCCTCCCGTACCTTCTCCCGTATCACTCAAGTTTCGACCCGTCTCTCGTGACAAGTAATTGGTTGACTCATCGGTTGAACCAGGAACCACCCAGCCACCTCCTTCCCGACTTTCTCAATTGACCCGACACAACTCGAAGTCGAATTGCCAATAAAACCACATTCCGTCTCAGAATTCCATCCAAGTCCCAGCCCATCCTGACTACCAAACAAACGCATGATATACACCACAATCCCCACCGATTTCCACCTCTCAAAAACCCTAACAACGACCAATAGTTTACCTCTCACACACACTCCCATAGTAGGGTTCTGCTAAACCAACCGGCGGCACCGCCACCAGCATTCCCACGTCGGGGAACACTAGCAATGGACTTCGACGAGTACGATTATTTGGAGAAAACCGTGGAAGAAACCAACGGTCCTCCGTCCAAAACGAAGGAGACTAAGGACTCCGCCGAGAAAGAGAGAGACAAGGAGAAAGGATATCGGAGAAAAGAGCGTGGCGACGAGGACGAAGGTGATATTGACGAGGACGAAAGAGATCGGAAAAATTCCTCCAGCAAAAGGTCCCGGGGAGATGACGAAAACGGCCGAGATAGAGACCGCGAGAGGGAACGAGATAGGGATAGGGAGAAGGAGAGGAGCTCGCTGCACCGGAGTCGAGATAGGGAGAGTGAGAGGAGTTCGAGGGACAGGGATAGAGACAAGGAGAAGAGGGAGAAAGAGAGAGATAGGGATAGGGAAAGAGATAGGGAGAGGAGAGACAGAGACAAGGAGAAGGAGAGGGAGAGGGATAGGGACAGGGACAAGGAGAAGGAGAAGGACAGGGAGAGGAGGGATAGGGAAAAGGAGAAGGAAAGAGATAGGGAAATGGAGAGGTCGAAGGAAATGGAGAGGTCAAGGAGGAGCCGAAGCAGGTCCAGGCTCGATCGTGAAAGGGAGAGAGAGTTGATCAGGGAACGAGAGCGCGAGCTCGAGATGAGGGAAAGCAGGTGATGCTCAGTTTTAACTTGTTTCTGCCGTTGCATTTTATAGATTTCTCTACACAGTTATGCTTACATACATTGATGGTGCTTTACTTGGCAAATAATTCTTGGTTAATTACGTTTAGAGTGCTTTCAGATGAGGCATTGCTTGCTAATGATTTGAGAATTTTTTTCCTCGTTGATGGTTAAGATTCTTTGCACTTGCACGGGGACTTTGATATCATTAGAATCACATGATGGGTAAGTGAATTTGTTTGCTTGGAGTGGTTTTTCGTGAACTGATATGGAAAATTGGAACATATGATTTATGAAGTTCGGTTTTTGATGGTTTAACTTCACTGACTTATGAAGGGCCTTTTCGATTAAAGGTTATTTGCCCTACCTATACTTATGGAGGTGGCTTATTTTAATTATGTGTGTTTTTGCTTATTGTTTTTGCATCACCAATCTTGGAGTTTCTCAATCAAATGGACTCCGAGTAATTGCAGCAAAAAAAATGTTAAGAGTTCATATGTAGACATACATATATAGCACACGTGTGTGTACACAATTGTTTCCAGTGTGGCTTGTTCTGTTATATGCATGTGTATCCAAATCTCTGCCAACAGATGAAATCACAGAAAGAATATGTAGAATGGCTAAGTGCAGAAAAAAGTCTGAGTTTATGCATGAAGAATATAACTTTCTAACTTGGGTTGAAATCGTAGATGCATCTTAATGGGCTAACATGCGGAAACTTCTTCACGGCTTGTCTGAAGAAAGTGGCTTTTCCACATATTGGTTTTGATAAGGTCTGTTGTGTTTCTCTTTTCCGGCCTTAAGATTTGGCTCACTCTTCAATCCTTCTAATGTTTTTTGCATACCTGGATTAAGCTTGATTTCTTACATCTAAGCTGAGATGTTGATCAATGATGTATTCAATTTTTAGGTTGGCAACGCATGTGGTGAGGCTGTATCAGTTTTCCAGCCTTTTGTTCACTGTGAAGACGAAAATGCCTTATCCCCATAATTCTTGTTCCCTCTTTGCAGTGAAACAGGGACCAGAATAGCAAATCCTCTGTTTGAATGACTTTTTTGATTCAAAATATCAGTGAACTCGAGTGTCCTAATGAACACAATCTTAATTGAAGTATAAATAATCAATGGTCTTAAATCATCCAGAATAGTGATTGGAGTGAACTTATGAAGGTTATTCCAGTCATTTTCCTTGCTGAAATCATAAGCCAGATTTTAGGTTTCTGGTTTACTTCTTGTTATCCCCCCTGTTTTTCTTTGATATTCCTTCTAATCTTAATTGTACTTAAGCTTAAAACTGTTTTTTAATTTGAGTCATCCATTGCTGTTGGGTAGAAGTGACTTGGTCTACATGAATAAGGGGGCTTTAGTTGACAATTAGCGAAAACATTTAGTTTCTAATCTGCTTGTTATTGAAGGTGGATTGCTAATGAAGTATAAAAATTTGCTAAGCATTGAAAAATGATGTGCTTGTTCTCACTCTCTTGCTGACCACTGGCTGAGGAACTTTATACAATCATAGTCTAGAATGTTTTATGTTTATACTTGTTAAATTTGAAGTTGGTATTCGTTTTTGGTATTTCTGTTATCAAAAAGTTTGATTTATGGAAAAGTAGGGTGCTGGCTTGGAATTTAAGGAGGTTGATTATCTCTGTGGTAGGGAGGAGAACATGATGTTGAGGTTGAGATAAGTTTTTCTACAAGAAAATACACCTATAAGGCTTTATATGTTAATATGTTCCTCTCATTGTAGGGTTTATACTTACTATTTTCTGAGTCATTTATGCAGGAGATTTAAAGAAAAGAAAGAAGCGGTGGAACCTGAGGCTGACCCAGAAAGGGATCAGAGAACAGTATTTGCTTACCAGGTGGATGGCTTAACTTCCCAGATTTTTATAGATCAAGTGTTACAGGAATTACTTGCCTGTTCGAAGTTGCTTCTTTTTTGTAGAGGAGAGGCTTAGGATTAGACAATATTGTTTGCTGATGTATACATATTTTGATTGCAGATGCCCTTGAAGGCAACTGAGAGGGATGTTTACGAGTTTTTCTCAAAAGCAGGAAAGGTTGGTGTTCTTCTGTCTATTGTTTGGATGGATATCATCATTTTATGTATTTATGTGGTGTATTATAACTCCAACCTTTGCTGTATTTCTTTAAGAATAAATGATTCTCAATTTCTGTTTATGCTAATATTCGTACACTGTTATGCATATACATAAGGGAAAAATCTCACGGTCTGAGTGCGCTGAATTGCAAAAGATTCATGGTCTCATTGCATGGAATACATGGTATTAGTTGCACGTTTTGCTTGTTGCTACTGATTACTAACTGATTTTTGATTATAACATAATAATTCTTGTGCTTGTTTGAGTAGATATGTTTTGTATGCATATGAATTCAATTTGTGAAGAATGACAAGTTATAAGATCCATTTCTTTGCTCTTTAACTTTTATTTTTCTTTTGTGGATCAAATTATTTGGCATTTCTTCTCAGTTTTGCTATTTTTAATTTCCAGGTGAGGGATGTACGTCTTATCATGGATCGAAATTCGAGGAGATCAAAAGGAGTTGGGTATGTGCTCCTTATGTATCTTTCTCCTTTTCTGGTTGCTCTCTATTTCTACCTTTTTTTAATATTATAAAATTGTAGTGCTGTCAAGTCTTACTTTTGGATAATGTTCCAAAAGGAGTTCAAGCTAAATTCATGGATTTGTTAGAAGGCCTTCAAATGTAGTTAGCTGGTCTCTTTTGACGCATCTTTGAGATACGTTGGTATTCCCATGATTTTGAGCTTGATTCACTTTGGGGCTTTTTTTTTTTTGATATTCTTGGTTAGTTATTACTTAATACTATTAATCTCTTAGTTCTGAGCCTTTTAAGTTGGGATTCATCTTCCACAGCGATTTCTTTTACAACCATTGGTTTTCCAACTTTTTTCTTGACTTCTGTGTCTTGCAGTCTTGATATTGATTCCCTTGATACTGCAGGTACATTGAGTTCTTTGATTCCATGTCTGTGCCGATGGCAATTGCTCTATCTGGGCATCTACTTCATGGACAGCCTGTTATGGTTAAACCATCAGAGGCAGAAAAGAACCTTGTTCCATCAAATGCTTCCAGTAATTCAAGCGTTGTGGGCCCGTATGGTGCAACAGATAGGAAACTCTATGTTGGAAATTTACATTTCAACATGACTGAATTTCAGCTTAAACAGGTAAGCTTTGCAAATTATGTTTTACCATAGTAAGCAGTTGGATGAAAGCAAACTTCATACCATTGTTCAATTAGTGTAGGAGATGAAAGTTGTAGGAGTTGGGGAAATTGCTCCTTTTAGAAGTTATCAGTCTACAAGGCACTTTTTCCCCTCCATAATCATCGATCACCTCTGGTCTTTGGAGGTAGATGGGTTTTTAACTCTTGCATCTTTTTTTAAGTTGAACGTGTTGGCATATCAACAGATTCACTAATTCTTTGAGGTCTGCGAGTTTAGGTGAAGCAAAATAAATTTTAGCTTTAGGTAATTCAAAGGTAAATATCCTTGCCACTTCCTTTATGTATCAGAAATTGGCCATGGGATGATCTCTCCTTTTATCTGACTTGGTCTTTTTAAAGCTTTTTGTCACTGGCCTATTGGACTTTAATCTTTTACGCAATGGTCATTAGCTTGTAGTCCAGCTTTTATTGCACCTCCTGTTTAGCAGTGTTTTGTGGTATCTGGCTTCATTTGCTAAATCTGGTAACTATTTATTTGCAGATTTTTGAAGCATTTGGGCCCGTTGAACTTGTACAGCTGCCTACTGATCCTGAGACTGGACACTGCAAAGGTTTTGGCTTTGTTCAAGTCGGTATTGGTTAAGATTTTGATGTCTTGATTCTCTAGCTAATTATACCAGTTCAATGAATCCTTAATTCTGACGATGTTGATGACATGATTATTATTTTTAGTTTGCTCAACTAGAACATGCAAAGGCTGCGCAAGTTCTAAATGGGAAATTGGAGATTGCTGGTCGAACTATTAAGGTGCGCTTATGAAATTCAAGCTTCATTAGATGGTTAATATATTGTACTTCATTTTTTATAATTTTTATTGATGCAGTGTCTAATTCTAATGTTTTTGAGTGCAGGTTTCATCTGTTACGGATCATGTTGGAGTGCAAGATTCAGGGCAGAAAACTGCCGATTTTGATGATGATGATGGGGGTGGATTGGTTAGTTGATTTTGTGAAACTGCAGTTTTTTAAATGCCCTAATTTTGGATATAGTTAATTGATAATATATCTGTTTTTAAATTTTTTGCCAACCTAGTATTCCCGTAATAAATCAACATTTATTTGAATGTATGTTTTTGGAGAGACAGGACTGAGGGTACTTTATGTTATAATACAGTGGCTGATAGGTGGCAATAGCAGCATATCCTGGGATTATAGAATATTACTGTGGTGTTGATTATAGAATATTACTTTTATCTTATTGGGATTCTGGAACTTGTTTTCTTAATTAGTATTATCTTTTCATCACGTCTCTAGTAGGATGGACTACTTAGCAAATGCATTTGAGACATTGCTTGATGGAATTGATAATTAACGAATGTGTCGTTTGGTGCATTAACAGTGTAAATCACTAAATTGTTCAAATTCAACAGCAATATGATGCATGAATGTTGTCTAAGTGGGTTTTAGGTTTCAACTTGTGAAGTATGATCAATTTTCTTTTGGATTTTCAACGATTTCTATTCAAGATGTTAAATTATAATTTAAAATAGTCCTTGAAGGCAATTATTCTGAAAGCATCACTGTTCTGTTAAAAAACAGTTTAGCTTTAAGTTGAGAGATATTGCTTGTTGCATCACACACATTGAGCAAATTCTGAAGTAACAAATCAAATTGAGAATTTGACTGCTCTGAAATTTGTTGAATCTAGTATATTGATTCCTTTTAATTGCTAATATTAAACACTTATTTATGGGTTTAAACTTATTCAGGCTTTGAATGCTCAATCAAGAGCAATGCTAATGGCAAAACTGGATCGCAGTGGGATTGCGTCAAGGTTTGTCTGTAGTATTATGTCCTTTTTCTCTGGAAATTCACTTTTTTGCTGCGGAAGTTTGATATCTTTTGCCTATTCAGTGTTGCTGGTTCCCTTGGAGTACCTGCGCTTAATGGCGCAACTCCTGCACAACAATCCATAACCATGCCCATGGTTGCACCTACAGCAATGTCTGCTCCGGTACTTCCAGCACAAGTTTTAATGCCCCCAGAGCCCATTGGCAACCCAAGCGAGTGTTTACTTTTGAAGAATATGTTTGATCCTGCAACTGAGGTTTGTTAATTGTTTGATGATCTATGTACAAGTACACATACTTGCCATACGTGCATGGAATTCCTAATCAAAGATTTATGTGTTTGTCATTGCCTTTCCTTTTGCTTATTCTTGGAATTTTGTTTGCAGACGGATCCAGAATTTGATTTGGACATCAGGGATGATGTGCGTGAAGAATGTTCAAAGTATGGCCCGGTGAAGCATATCCTTGTGGACAAGTAAGAATCTTGACTCGAGTGTATGCTTGGTATTTGACTTCTGATGTATCCGCAACCAGAAATCATTTACTTGCTGAGATGAATACTAGTTGAAGATGGTTGGCATTTCAAAAGGAGGAGGCTCTCAGAAAGATTGTTTAAACTTGAAACAGGATTTTTAGCAGAGTCCTATTATTAATTTTAGCTTTATAGACTAAAGATTTTCATTTATCAGCAAAGCTCTAAAATTAACTGCCAAAGCAACATTTTCTATGATAGTAGCCAATTGTCAGGTGACAATTATCCTTGGTGCAATATGTCAAATATATGGAAAGAGAATAAAAAATGTGTTGGGTGTGATCTTGTCTTTTACTGTTAAGGTGGAAAGAAATTCAAGTAGGTAGGAGTGCAGCTATAAGGGGCATGGAAAAGGCAAAAAGAATTGAGGATACCTACCTTTTCCTGGCACAAGGGAGGTCAGCGAAGAAAAACAATTAAAATTTGAGAGTATAAACTTTTGAGCGACAGACATCCTATTGCATTGTATGTCTACTTGTTATGTTCCCGTGCTTTTACCATTCAGTCTATAAATCATAATAATGGTCCACTTCTCAAGAAATTATGAAGCTTAGCTGAAGATAATTAACAGATATTTAACTCCTGTCAGTTGAGAACCGGCCCCATGTACTCTCTTTTCCTTGGTATTTCCTATTTTTAGCAGCAAATTTGAGCTTTGTCAGTTGTTGCATTGTATTATTTATGCTTGATTTTGTCTTCCATTTTATGTCATTTACAGGAATAGTTCTGGTTATGTTTATTTGCGCTTTGAGAATGTGGAGGCTGCAGCACGTGCTCAACAAGCCATGCACAAGCGATGGTTTGCTCGCCGATTGATTTCAGCAATCTTCTTGGTAATATATTGGACCATAGTTTTTGCAAAATGGGAGGAGCACATTCACTATTTTTTTTCCTTAATATTTATTCATGTGCTCTCTCTCTCTCTCTCTCTCACTTTCACACACACACACACAGACATTCACATTATATGTATATGTGTATATGCATGCATGCATATTTGTGTGTGTGTGTGTATGTACATACATGTGTGTGCATGTATGTGCATATGTATATATAGACACACAAACACACAGGCAAACAGAGAGATATAGACGTATGTGTGTGCGCGCGTGCGTGTACATTTGTTTGGTTCTGATACTACAATCAGTAATGCAATCGCAAAATGGCTCTTTTCTTTAGTTTGACCGACATGTTGTAGACAGAGGCCACCTGGGCCTGTCCCAACTGGTAGCTTAACTGATGAATTTAAAGCACTAGTTTCCTTCCACAGTTGAAATATGTGTGGAAGCATTCTTCAATTGAATAATAAACTAATTATGGTGATGTTGAACTCAACTGTCAATGTCAATGCTAAGTTACAACATTAGCTATGTTTGTGGAGAATAAAACCATATATGTGTAGCGAAGGTGCGCTTACAAGCACATGCAGACTAGTGTTCTTGCATTGCATTTCTCGTGCAAAAAGTAGAGCATTTGAACTTAAAAAACATGAAGCAACTTAAGTAGTTCATATTGGTCAAGTTTTTATCTAACAGAATGTGTCTGTGAACTTGGGGCACTTGTATAGATGGCCTCAAATTGTATGTTAGTGTGTATGGATCTTTAATTTCTTTGATTATTTTTACTGCAATTTTTTGTATCTCCAGTCTATGATGCTCCTTTGAGGTTTAGAAATTGTAATTCTTGTCTGATTATGATGTGAAAATATTGGGGGCAATGCAAGCTAGTCTGGAGGCAAATGCTTCATTTGAATGTGATTGAAGGTTGAGAATTTGGAGCATTATGACTACTGGTGATATATTTGTGTGTACATTGATCAATGCATATGTTTGGGTTGCTTAATTTTGACGAATATTTTATTTGTTTGCAGCAACCATATGAATATGATGCAAAATTTAAAGGGGCTGCTTGATACTGTTCCGCATGCTGGAATCAATGTGGATGGAGTACAACCTTAAAGTGGAGTTGCTGAGCGTGTTTGCTTATGGTTTCATTACGATGTGGATTACAATAACTCTACTTGCTTCACATGTATAATTTGGTTTTAGATTTGGTTATTGTTATGTGGTGGATGTGTATACAATTTGATCGATTATTTTCCCTTTGAAATGTAGTACCGAATATTTTTATTAGCATGATAGCAAATGTTGTTGGGATGGTTCGAAATTTTCTACATATTTAACTCTATACTCCTTCCCTTTCACCTTCCCCTTTCCGCCTTGCAATTTGGGTTGCAAATAAACCAAGTCAAGTCAAAGTTTTGGTCTAATTGAATCAAGTCTAATATCGAGCTCAAGTTTTGCACTGAAAGTTCCATCACAAATTCGAGCATAGTCAAGCTCGAACAAGCCTATTTGAGTTTAAAAAATTAAAAATAATTATTTTATCTTTTAAAAATGAATAAAATATTTATTTTTTTAATAAATAAAAATATTAGATATATATGTATAAAATTGGATGAGCTATTGAGTTTGAGTATCTTTATGCTCGCTCGAGTTCGATAGTTTGACTTGGTTGACTCGATTTTAGTATTAATTGAGTTTGAGTTGAATTTTAATCGAATTGTTCGAGTTTGGTAGTTTGACTTGGTCGACTCGAATTCAGTATTAATTGAGTTTGAGTTGAATTTTGATCGAACTGGCTTGGGAGCACTTGCGAATGAATTGATTCATTTGCAATCTTATTTGTTATGGATGGAATATAATTTGACCATTTAAAGAATCTTTTTCATTTTAGATCTAAATTATGTCCCTTTTTGATAGAGGTGGCAATTTGTTCCATGTTTCAATGGGCTATCCATGCTTAAAGGGATTTTAGGCGGGATGGATATTTTAATTTTGATGTTGGGTTTGAAATGGTACTAATCTCATTTATATCCATTAATTGGTGGGAATTTTTGGAAAATACTTGGGTAGCCATTGGGGCCCAAATATCTTACCAAATATTTATTCTATCAATTGTTGTATAGCTTTTAATGACTCAAGTGTACCATTTTTATTCTTCCACCTAGGTCCTTCAGTTTTTTCCTTGTAATTATGTTTAAAATCTCCATCTAGTTTCATGAACTCTTTTGTCCCTTGGAAATCAGTTTTTTTTTTTTTTTAATTCTTCCCCCTTTTTTCGTAAAAATTCTGTTGCCAGTCTTAATTTAGAGTGTATTTGAAAATTATCGAAAGAAATATCTTTGTTTTCAGATGGGGACTTAATGGTTGCTCAATCAGGTTGAAGAGGGCCTGAAGGAGGCTAGTGGGTGCTCTTTGAGACTTGTAAATGGTTTTGAACTCCTTTTTTAGTTGAATGCTGGTCAAAATAAATATTGGAAGTTATATGAAAGTCATCAATTTGTAATCTTATTAGAAAATATTTTGTTCAATTTTAATGATTTTACGATGGCTTATAGTTCCAAACACCATCTTCGTCCAGAAAGAAGAAGAAGGTGACAGGCAGGCTGGCCACTTCAAAAGCTACATCCATGATCAAAGCCCCCAAAAGGCCTCTATTGCAAAAACATGATGGTTTCACAACCACTCAGTGCCTCAAAACCAAATTTCTGAAAACCAAATTCCAGCTGTGTTGATTTTCTTGTTTTTTTTTTTTCCCTTTCCAAATTCTAGCCCAAGATGCATTTCACGACGTGTCAGTTAAACACACAAATGCATCTAGTGTTGGCTAGACACATTTTAAAAATTCATGGACTTATATTCAGAAAGACCCCCAAATTTAATCTATTTGGACCATTATTTCAAGAGATAAAATCATGTCTAACCCTTTTTTTTATTATTGTTTTTTATTGTAAAACCAAGCAACTTGAAAGAACAATTCTAATCTTTTTTCTTCCCTCCTCCCTCTCCCCCCAAAAACCCCTTTTTTTCCTAAATTAAACTTTTTTTCTTTTTTCTTTTTTTCTAACTTTCAAACTAAACTTCATAATTTGTAAGACAGGTGTTTGTGGGGTTAAAAAGTATAATATGATGATAAAATACTGTCCAAATTAACGCTATTTGAGCGATTTTTTTTAAAAGACCATTATTTCAAGAGACAAAACCATGCCTAACCCTTTTTTTTCTATTTTTTTTATTGTTAAAACTGAGCAACCCCAAAAAACAATTCTAATATTTTCTCTTCCTTTTTTTTTTTTTTCTTAACTTAAACCTTGTTTTTTCTAACTTCCAAACTAGGCATTAACGCAGCACAATTTGTAAGACAAGTGTTTGTAGGGTTAAAAAATACGAGACGATGATAAACTACTGTCCAAATTAACTCTATTTGGGTGATTTTTTTAAAAAGACCATTATTTTGAGCGATAAAACCATGCCTAACATTTTCTTTATTATTTTTTTTATTGTTAAAACTGAGCAATCCAAAAATAAAATAACAATTCTAATCTTTTCTCTTCCCTTTTTTTCCCCTAACTTGAACTTTTTTCTTCTAACTTATAAACTACACATTAACGCGGTACAATTTGTAATACAAGTGTTCGTAGAGTTATAAAGTACAAGATAATGAACTAAACTACTGTCCAATAAGGAAAATTTTTTATATTAAAAGAGAACTTTGAGCAAAGCCTTGAAAATTTCCCCAAATGAAAATGACACATGAGGAAGTCGAAATCGACCGTTACTCCAATCCTCAACCGATTTTCAAAGTTCTCCAGGGTCACTTCAATGAACTCTGGTGTAAGAGATGCAGTTAGCCAAGGCTACCCAGACAAAGCGCTTATTCTCTTCCGCCAAATGAAGCAAAACGGCTTAGAACCCAGCAAATTGACCTTCCCTTTCATAGCCAAAGCCTGTGCAAAACTCTCTAGCCTCAAGTGCTCCCAAATGGTGCACACCCATATGTTAAAATCTCCTTATTATTCAGATAAATATGTACAGTCGGGCTTGGTTAATATGTATGTAAAATGTGATCAGGTAGAAAATTTTGCTTACGCAGTGTTTGATAGAATGCATGCAAGGGAGATTGCTGCTTGGAATGCGATGCTCATGGGTTTCGTGCAAGCGTCGTGTTTTGATAGAGCTTTGTGTTTATTTAATGAGATGATGCTTGATGGGGTTAGACCGGATTCAGTTACGGCTATGGGGTTAGCACAGTTGGCTTCTGGTCTGAAGGATGTTAAATTATTGACTTCAGTTCACTGTCTGGGGATTAGAATTGGGGTAGAAGCTGATGTTTCAGTTGCTAACACTTGGATTGCTGCATATTCTAGATGCGGTGATTTATCCTTGTCTGAGATGGTTTTTAATGAAATTGATTTGGATGTTCTGACTGTTGTTTCTTGGAATTCAATGATTACTGGGTGTGGTAATGCAGGAGAAGGATTTATGGCTATGGGGTTGTACCATAATATGTTATATGATGGATTTAGGCCTGACTTGAGTACCATTCTTAACTTGCTTGGATCATTTGCCAAACCTAATGCTTTGTTCCTTGGGAAGTTGATCCACTGTCATGGAGTTCGATTAGGTTGTTGCTCAGATGTTTCTGTTCTTAATACCCTTGTTTGTATGTACTCCAGATGTGCAGACATAGATTCGGCAAGAAGTTTGTTTGACTCCATAGTGGACAGAACTCGTGTTTCTTGGACTGTCATGATCGGTAGTTATGCTGAGAAAGGGGATTTGGAGGACGCAATGGCCTTGTTCCATGACATGGAAGCAGCTGGCGAGCAACCTGACTTAGTTACGGTGATATATTTAATTTCAGCCTGTGGCCAAGTTGGAGTCCTCGATTATGGGAGATGGATAGACAGTTATGCCATCTCAAGAGGATTGAAGAGCGATATAAGGGTCTCGAATGCACTATTATACATGTACTCTAAGTGCGGAAGCGTAAGAGATGCTGAGGAACTCTTTTCTTCCATGAATGAGAGGACTATTGTTTCTTGGACTGCCATGATATCGGGTTATGCACTGAATGGACAATCTGGAAAAGCATTGGATTATTTTAATGTGATGTTGAAGTCAGGTTTAGAACCAAACCATATTACATTTCTTGCTGTTCTTCAGGCCTGTGTTCATGCAGGTCTGATGGAGAAAGGATGGGAATTATTTCATATGATGACTGAGCTATACAAGTTAAGTCCTGGTCTGGACCACCATGCTTGCATGGCTGATCTCCTTGGACGTCAGGGAAAACTGAAAGAAGCATTGGAGTATATTCAACGTATGCCTATTAAACCAGATGCCGGCATTTGGGCTGCTTTGCTTAGTGCTTGCAAGATTCACCGAAATGCAGATATTGGAGAGTATGCAGCTCATCATCTTTTTGAACTGGAACCCCAGGCTGCTGCTCCATATGTTGAAATGGCCAACATATATGCATCAACAGGAAGGTGGGATGGTGTTGCTTCCATTAGAACAAAAATGAAATGCAATCAAGTCAGGAAATATCCCGGGGAAAGCACTATTCAAGTGGATGGCAAGAGCTATACTTTCAGAGTGAATGACAAATTTCATCCCAAAGGCTGCCTAATATATGAAGTACTAAGTAGTTTGGGATTGTATTCCAAGAAACAGATAGATACGTTTAGGTCTGAGGAATTCTTTTGACAGTAGAATTGTTTTCTTTAGATTAGTGATTTAAGGTAGAGCTAAGAAGTTGAAGCTTCCCAGAACAGGGTGTCAAGGAAGTGATACAGTCTCTTTAAGCAATTACCTGATCAATTTCCAGCGGACCTGAAGAAGTACTCTTCGACCATGTCCTTAACTAAGTCCTAAAGACAAGCGACTACTACCCATCTGAGGGTCAAAGATCTTCTTGATTCTTTTCCAATAGGTCCCCTCCTCAAGTCAATAGCAGTTTCACTACGGAGCACAAACATCTTAACTCTGGAGATAATATCAGCTTTCAGGATCCCTTGTATAATCCCTCATTGGGGCAGAAACAATTCTGGGTACTCATTTCATGTATACATACGTCTTCTTCAACTGATGCAGATAAATGCAACAAAGTTGTGTACATTCATTGGTTTGGATCGTACACAATTTAGACCATAAGTTTGTTTTCAAAATCAATGTATCAATTAAATTTCATGACATACAGAAATTTTCTATGAATTCAGAAATATTCTTACTCATATTACCAAGTTACTATCAATATATATTTAAATTAAATGTCATCCGAATAGTTGGAAACAAAAAATGAAAAAAAAAAGTCCACAAAGTTTTGAGAACAAACTAAATCCTCACCCTTTTGTTTGAATTATCAAGGGCAATTTGATGATTATTTCAACGAGTTACTAGCCCCAACAAGTAGCATGAACTTCACATGAACGTTAATTCAAATTGGAATTAAATGACATGCATCCTACGATATCAATGTATATATTCTCAGTGTATTAAGATTAATCCAAATAAATATTAATGATCATAAAATTTTCTAAGTAATATAATTATCCCATTTTCTTTCCTTTCTCTTTCTCTTTTTTGCTCTTTCTGTCACATAATTGGAACAATCAAACGGTTTGCAACTCAACGTTGTTACCATGCTTATTACTTTGTTGTACGCTATCAAAAGTTATTGTTTTCAATCTTAAGTAAAGCATAATTAGATAAGATTGTTGCTAGCAAACAAGGCCACATCTAAACTTGAGTGTTGACATTTACACATGGTTGGCCTGTTTCTACCATATACTTTAACTAATTTTCGTCAATCAATCCTTGATTGAATGAAATTGCCTGGTTCTTTTCTCTTATATATCAATGCTGGTGAAGAAAATGAGACTTGTGTAAACTTTCCTTAAATTTGCAGACATTTGAACGTGTGTGAGAACATTTCTATTAGGGTAAATTACTTCACACCACCCTGTGGTTTTATTTATTCTTATATGATCCTCCTAACAATTCAAAACATTCATATAACTCTATATGATTTCATGTAAAGCATAAATTTAACAAAAGTAACCCCATAACGTCATTAATTGAAAAGCCAATATTATCCTTACTTAAACATTAAACATAACGAGAGGCTAACCACTTTGTATAAAATCATAGGAAGATTACTGTGAGATCTCTAGTTTGACTCTCATGCCTTTTCCTTCCCCGTAAGGCTTGGAGTCTCTCATTTTGAAAAAGAAAGGAAGAAAGAAAATTGTGTGGATATATGTAAAATAATATAGGGATTTACCGGATACTATGATTTCAACCTACACGTTTCTGCTAAGGTTGTCCGTTAATTAAAGTAACCAAAGTTCGTGTCCATCCATTTTCAACTTCACATAAAATAATAGGGTAATAATATAATTATCTCGAAAAAATTGAGTTATATGGTAATAAGCGAAATCACATATGATGTATAGTAATTTAGCCTTTCTATTACTTGTGAGCATATGCTTACAAACATGTGTATACACGTATCAGTTTGACAAATTACCTCGAAGAATTGAGAAATACACACCTGATTGAAGATCTCAGCATCACCAGAGTTTCTTTCTAAGTTCTAACACAACTTTGTTGATCCCAGATGTTAAACGTCATAATGTAACATGTCACGATCCAAAATTTGGCATTTTCTTACCATAGTCGTGCAATCCTGGCCCTCCAGCAGAGGATAGTATTTTGTGGAACACAAGAAGTCAAAAGAAAATGCACTCTAGCCGTTAGATTGAAGACTGATGAGGCATTCTAAAGTCAGTGAAGCAATAGTTAATATGAAATGGACAGCACTAATTAAGGGTCTTAATATTTTCTCAATTTGATTGCAGGCAATTCACTTTTGACATGAAAACTACCATCAGTCAAAACAAATTAACCATCCACTTGAGACCAATTGGAATGTGGATGGTAGAAAAATTCATCCCAATTTTATCTTTTATTTTTTTGTGTGTTTCTTTTGGTCAAACTTCTACAATAGTCCATAGTGTATGGTAAAATACTAGCCTTAATGCCTCTTTTTTGGGGTGGAAAAACGCAAAAGAAAAGGAGAAAAATTCAAGCAAGGATAAACATTGTTATACTAAATGCTAATGTAATGATAAAGCGACCTTATTCTTGAAATTATGTTCAAAGATGAAGACCGCCAAATTCATGTCTTAGGGTTAAAAGGGCTTTTAGATCCACATTTATCAATTTAATTTCTATAAAAATGTCGTTAAAAAGTCACATAGTAAACCAGCAGATATACTGGTGTACTGGTATAGATTGGTTAAATTAACTTGCATAATCTTTAATACATTCTTCGACCATCTATTTATCTCACATACATTCTTTTAACAAAATTGCTATAATAAAACATTTTTCAAAAAAAAAAAAACTCCAAAAACACCCATTCAAAAACTTGATTCCATACGAATGTTGAATCTAGGTCTAGCTTTGAATGAAATCGACTTGAATGGCAAAATACTGGGTCTACAATTAATGGAATTAATCCCTCCGTACCCTAGAAGATGCATGTCACTATTTTTCTTAATCAAATATTCAGGCTCCTATAGACTAGATGAATCTTGGATGGTTTGAAACGGTCATCCTTTTACTTTTTGCTTACTCATTGAAACTTGTCAAGTAAAAATGCAAGAGCAATCGTGCAATTGTTAGTTTTGTAATAGCAATTTCTTGGCAAATTCACGCAATAAATATCCGAGTGTGAAAGATTAAAGTGCCAAAAATGAAGACCTTAGGTAAATTTTTAAAAGGTTGAATTTCAAAAGGAAATACACATGTTAAAGGAACTAGGGGTGTTTATACCTGATTGGTCATTGGCGGTTGTTCTGTTATTAAATTTTGGTCAATTTTTTGTTTTATCTGAAGAAGCTACAGTCGGTTCCAAACCATCTTCACTTCTATCGCTAGATAAAGCACTAAAAGTAACATTTGATTATTAATCAACCGTTGACTCACTGATCAACTTAATAGTAGTAGTAGTAGTACCGCTACCATCAGGGGTGGATGGTGGACAAAAATACTCGTTTATTCGAAAATCCAACGTCTTCGATTCGATTCAATTCGATTTGAAAATTATGATATTCAATTCGTATTATTTGATCGAATCAAAAAGGGTCAGATATCCATTTAGATGTGGAGCAGGTTAGGATTACATAATTAAAAGTCTGTGGGTACCTGACTCGTACCACATATACATTTTTTTTAATACACATAATTAAAAATCCGTGAATAAGGATTAGAAAATGATTGTTTCGCAAGATACGGATCGAGTCAGCCAAATGGTGCATGAGATGGATACCGGACTCGTTCCCACTCCTAATTACCATTAAAGTTTAATTCTTTTTGTCAAGGAAGACTTTAAATCTGACAGGAGAAATGGGACAATTTCAGAGTCGAATGAAGAACTCAACAGTCACCTAACCAAATGATCCCACCAAGTAAACTGTGTTTAGGAAATCTCCAATCTGTTGTTACTAAATAATCTTGAACTTTCAAAAATCCAGCCCGTTATTGGTTACCAAATATTAGATACCAATTAAAAAGTATTTTACCAATATTTTTTGAATAGTTTAATGGTTAATTATTCAACAAAAAACTGAGTAACCAAATAATAATGGCACGGTCTGCTTTTTTTTTTTTTTTTTTTAAACCAATCCATGAAATTAAAAAAAAAAAAAGAATTTCTCTAACGGGAGTCTAATGGATGTTTGTTAACATATGTAAATTCTATCTAACTTACCATATATTTATACGCACTAACAATTATTAGCATTCCTTCTATTTATATATTTTTCCTAATTAGTCCTATCTTTCCAAAAGTATAACATTTAAACAAGTGGCTAATAGACTCCCGTTAGACAAACCTGAAAAAAAATTTGCAAAATAAGAACAAATGATGGAAGCTAGTATGGTAATTTCCTATTCCCGTACTAAAAAATCCACATATCTTCCATCCATCTTCCATGCAAGCACACAGCTGTTTCTCTCTTATATCAACTAATACTACACGTATCCTTTAAACGCGCTTTATGGAGGACCAAAACAAATAAAGAAAAAAACACACCAATCCAAAACCATCCAACACGTACTGATCTAGTGATCTTCGTATCATCATATATATATATATATATATATACAGCTACAGATATCAACATTTACAAATTTATTCACCTACACCAGCAAATATGCGTGATTCTGCAGGAGAAATATTCCTTTTTGGCATTCCAATTCTGCTGAAATCCGTACCAATGGCATGCAAAGATGATGAAGAAGCCCAAGAGGGATTCAAGAAAGACTCAGACATGGCTGCAGCAGAAGCAGAAGTAGCAGAACAACTCATGCAGTTAAGTGGAGATGAAGAAGATAGACAGAGTATAGCGACCACCTTTGAGAAGAAGAAAAGAAAGGACAAGGATCAAGATGATGATCAAGGCATTAGTGGTGCTGAGAGCAACTGTCGATTAATCGAATCTAAGAAGATTAGAAAAGATGATCCTCATAACAAGGGCTCTAACGCAAAGAAGAGGAAATCCAAGTATCGGTCGATCGATGATATTTATATGGTGACGAAGCCAATGAATGATTCTGTGCAAAGAAGTTGAAACCTTGAAGAAGCTCTAAAAACTTTTGGTCAGGAATGTAGAGTAGTTTTCTTTTCTTTTTTCTTCCTTTATTTATTTTTGTGGGAGAGTTTTTAGAAGGAATTAACCCTTTTGCCTGAATATTAACTTCTCATTTTCTGATCAGATTAATACTTTGCTTTTTAATCTACTGATGCATGATTGAAAAATTCCATATTTCTGTCAGTGGTTTTTTTGTGTACGGTTTTTCCTTTTTCATCTTTTTGTTCCTTTAATCAGTAGATGATATCCTGATTAAACTAGCCTGTGAGACTTAACTGGTCTTTATGACCCCATGGGAGGAATGTTGAGGTTCAAAAGATAAATGCTTGTTTTGTGGTTGCTTCCACTCAGAAGCAATGAAAATTAAAAAGTATCTGCATGACTGCAGGGTCATCAGCAAGAAAATGGGGAAAAAGCCCTTCAAAAGCTTGTCCAACCAAACATTGTATTAGTAAATTGTGATTTCAGGAAAGCATAAAGACAAATTAGATCCTGGCTAGTGAAGGGTGGAACTGTAAGTAAAAAATTCCACCCAAAGCCCATTCAATTCAGAAGCACTAGCATTAGAACAAAAAATTATCCTTTTAATATGGCCAGAAAAAAGAAATAGGGAAAGACTAACAACCTACAAACTTGCATCGTTAATCAAGAAGACAGGAGTTTTTGACTTCAGTTTGTATTGAAATTTTTTCCGCTTCTTTCATGTTATTTTTGTAGCTTGCGTGACCGAATTATATGCTCTTGAATGCAATAAGAAGCAAATCTGTTCCGCTATTACTTTTAATGGTGTCCTTAAGATCTTTGCTTAGGTGTTAAGGCAGAATGATTGATACTATAACTCACCAAAACCATTCCATGGTGTGAATTCAATGAACTTGACTGTCAAATTTGTCATCCCAGACTATTTCTTGATTCAAAAGCAAGTAGGCCTCATGAGGTGCAAATATGGTGTGTTTACAGTTTTCATGGATGAAGTCTTGAACTAGTGGCCAAAAAACCAAAATTAACATTTCGATAGTACAAGGGTTTTCAATTCAAAGTCTTACTGGTACTTGACTTGTAATTGTAGTTCACACTACTATCTGAGGTGGTTGTCTAACAATTCTTTTAGTATTTGTTCAATTATTTTTGACCTTTTCGTTCATTCATCTGATTTTGTAGCCAAATAAAAAAGTTTCTGTATTGTGCTTATGTTCTTAATTTCACCCATTAGAATTTGCTAGGACTCGGGTTGGAGTGTTGGATACTATTGCCTTCTTTGCTTGGCTATTATACTTCTGTTATGTGGTGTTGTCTTGTTTGCCAGACTATTGTACTTTTGTTATGTATTTGTTAGACTAGCCTTTCGTGAATGTACAAAATTAGAATCAAGTTTGTGATATATATATATATTTATATATATATATACATATATATATATAAGAAAGGTTTGAAAGTTGAATCAGGAACATCAAGTCACTAACCTTACATCCCTACCAGTTAAGTTGGGTCTTGAAATTGATATATTGATATTTAAAAAGCCCAAAAACACACACACACACACACTCTTTAGATTGAATCTGTGATTGATTACTGTTCATATACGTGTAGGTAGTTATTCTAAAAATTTAGGCTATACAACTAGTTGTGTATTCTAAGACTCCCAAGTAGCTAATCATTTTGTATAAATACGGAAAATATATTTGTCTCTTGTACAATTATTCTGAAGATAGCATACACACCACCTTAGTTTTCTTCTAGTAACGGGAACATTATTTTTAGGAGTCCATCTACAAAAAAAAAAAAAAAAACCACTAGTGAAAATCACGATATTTTTAAGTGATAGAAACAAACATAAGAATCCTTAAAATCAATATCTTTTTCATGAATTTTCCTTTTGCCAGAAGGGGATCTGAAATTTATTGGCTTATGCAAGCAATCTAATCTACCTTTGTCTCTTTTCCAGGAAGCTAATAATTGCATGATTATGTACGAAAAACTTTCCTAATTAAGTATGTAAAATCTGAAGGAGAAATATTGTTCCCTTGAGAAAAAAAGCATTTAGGTGCATTCTACTTACAAAACTAGTGAGGTGGATATTTAGTCACATCTCCTAAATCCTAACACCATATATTACTTATCAATTTCAGACATATCCAATTGTTGTGATTCAATTTTAACATCTTGATTTATGGACAGCTAGGATAACACAAGCCAAAAATCAATAAATGTGTGTGCAAGAAATGCATCATGTATTAGTGTCTCTCTCTTTTAAAACATCCAATTTTTCAATGCGACCTTTTTTGTTTCTTTTTTTAACCTTCTTGATTCTACCAGATTGAATTTATCAAAAGAAAAAGTTATCCTGCAGCCTGATCTGGAGCAGCTGCCTCTCCTCATAGGCCTCAAATCTTTATTTATGCTGCATTTTTGTGTTGAAAGCTTTAATGTGATATCTGATGCTCAAATTTTAGCTCTGCTTATGCAGGAGGCATTCTATCTAAGCAACGCAGACTTCAGCTAGGGAATCATGACAAAATTCTCCTGTTAAGCAAGACATCTGCAGCTAAGGAATCATGCAAAAATAACCTCAAAGTGACATCTTTCCATTGTAATCTAGCCTGGGATTACTCCTTACCACAAGTTTACTGGAGTACTGGAGAATGATTCATTTGTCAAATTGAGAACACAAATTAGGAGGATCGTAGAGACAACAACAAATGCCTGTGCTTTTCCACCAGAAGTGTTGTAACAAAGTCCATTAACAGAAAGCACTTTTGCAGAGTATAACATTTCAGACACTGATATAAGGACCCCTTCAATATGGGGTAACTTTGTGACACTATATGCACTGACAAACCTTACACAAGGACACCGAAAAACCTCGTACAGGTATTCAACAAAAGAATGAATGGAACCATTCTAGAACAAATAATTGGTCAGCTGACAATGCTTCGTATCTACACCTCCGAACTATACTCGAATCTTATTCCGTCTACCCGTGCTATATCTCATCATGCAAAACCATTCCAGCATTACCTGTGTGCCTGGCTGCACAAGCAAATTCCCAACAGCATTCTTGTTTCATGCACGTTAGGCAAAGCTGTGTCTCGAGATGTCTCAATCGTCACAGTTCAATCCACAGATCTCTAGTACAGGGCCATCCCTTGAAACAAATGGGTTAACTCGAACCCACAAAAGGGTTATTATTGAAGCCAGAAGAATAGACCAGACGATGATAATTGTTGGAGTGCGTTCTTGCTTCCCGATCAATCCTTTGAGGAATGGATAAAGGTGAAGGATGACCCAGAAGGCAAAAAATAGCCGACCAAATAATGGACCCCAAGAATCATAACCGTTGTTGATGGCATCCGCTATCCCAACTATAACTCCAACAATGTTTACAATCAACAAAGTTGTTGGAGGAATTAGCAGTGACGTCCACTTGAAGATGTAAAGCTCCGAGAATTCTCCATCATCTCCTCCCTTGGAGGTGACGGTGAAATTTGTATCAATACCACCCAGGACCTTGAGTAATCCTTGGAAGAGAGCAAAAAGGTGAGAGGAAACACCTCCAATAACCCAGAATTGTTCATTTCTCCACCAATCATCTATTCCTACACCACCCCATTGCATTTCAAGGATACCAGTGACAGCGATGGTGATGAAGAGGGCCATGAATACAACACTTGCATAGTTGCTAATCTGTGTACAGAAGACAGGTTATAGCCAAAAGTCACACACATATCAAATTAGCAGTTGAAATTCTCAAGGCACCAGGAAATTTCACATGAAAACATACCTCAGGGACAATAAATTTTCCAGTGAGAAGGCAGATGGCAGGCAGCATACAATACACAAGCAAAGGAATGGAAGTCCAAGGATATACAACAGAGTTTATGTATGAAAGTCGTTGAAGCCACTTCAGTCCACCTCCATAGCCATACCAAATTGGACAGTGTCTGCTCATGAAAATCTCAACAGATCCGAGGGCCCACCTAAGAACTTGGTGAAGACGATCTGAGAGATTAATTGGAGCAGACCCCTTAAATGCAGGCCGCTTGGGTATACAATACACAGACCGCCAACCATGACAGTGCATCTTGAATCCTGTCAAGATATCTTCTGTGACCGAACCATATATCCAGCCAACCTGAATCAGCAAATGCAAATTGTTTCATCAATTAAGAGAACAACAGGAACAAAAGAGAATACTTAGTAATTCTAGGCATTCTCCGCGAATATTTCAATTATCAGAATTATAGGATGTTTGTAGGGTAGTTTACCTCCTTTCCCCATTCTGTCTTATCTTCATAACCACAGCTGATAACATGAATAGCTTCGTTCAATAAGGATGCAGAACTAGCGTCCTTAGGAATTCCACCATTCTCCAACAGTGTTGAGGCTACAAAAACCGGAGATTGACCAAACTTCTTTTCAAGTTTCACTTGGGAAAGCTGAGATGCATTTTCAGGGTTTATTTCTGCATTGGAAAATGAATTTACTGTCAGTGGGGGGTACATACATGCTTAGATTTCTTTTCAGGACAATAAAATCCCAACATCCATCAGAACTTGTAGTTAATTTAGACAAGTTTGCAAAAAATGAAGAGAATTTTGAAAGTGGTTTTTCTTACAAATTTCATAAAGATTTGAAGAAAGCTCATTGACATGTCAGTCATAAAGTCAGAAAATACAGGACTCAATTTTATATGTTTCAAGAAAACTTTTTGCAAAATTATGAATTCCTGTTTATTGATTTTCATGAAAAACTGGAAAGCATCAATCTTCTTGTTTCCATAACAAGGACGCAATGTCAGCACAGCAGACAAACAAGGTCATACTTTTCTTCAAAAGAAGACTTACTTTTAATTCCTTCTTCAATTGTTTCAAGAGCATGTATTTGCTTAGAGGCTTCCTTTTGCTTCAGTTTCTTCTTATTTTCTTTCTTTCCTTTTCCTTTCTTGTTCTTGCTTGAACAGCAACATGAACAGCACCACTTGGGCAAACAATTGCAGGTTTTGCTGGGAGGCTTCTTACTGACAGGAGCATCAAAACCATAAAGTGCTTGCCTTCTGAAAACACAACCAGTTCCTACATATATTGGTCCCTGCAATCCATCTAATCCCTTCATGTTGATCTGTAAGAAACAGAAAAGTCAGACTCGC